AATTTGTGGTTCAGGTTCAGGTTCAGTTCAGGTTCATTGAATCTAAATTTGAACTGAACTGAACCTAGGAACCCTAATATATATACAAAAATTTTTTTTTAGAAAAAAAAAAAGGCTTACTGAACGTGAAGGTGACAATAATGTCTCTTGAAGCTCACAATAACCTCAGCATCCATGGGCTGAATTCTTGAAGTGGTATTTGGTGGCAAAAATTGTATATCTGTATATTGAAGATTAATATCATTGATTTTATAGCTAGGGCAGTTGTCAAGAAGCAAGAGCACATGTTGGCCTCGATATCTAAGACCGACTTGACAATCAAATTCTTTAATCCATTCTTGGAAGAGAGATGTAATCATTTAGGCTTTAGTACTGTTTCTGTATTTTACAGGCAAATTACTAATATTGATATTTTTAAAGCAGCGTGGTTTTTTATATTTCCCAATTACAAGAGTATTCAATTTATATGAACTGTTGGCATTTGCACAAAGTGCAATTGAAAGGCATTCCTTATTTATTTTATGTCCAGCAAGACGTTGAGTTGCCAACATTCTATCGGGTTTCAATCTAAAGGTAAAAGTTAATAATATATAAATAGTATAATTTTAAAAAAATACAAATAAGAGGTACAATTTTTTTTTTAAATTTAAGCAAAAACAAATAAAGACTTATATCAATAAAAAAGACCAGTCTCATTCATATTATATATTCTTTCAACAGGATAATTTGCACACATATTTTTTAATACTAACAAAATGTTGTTAATTGCTATCTCATCAGCAGATGCAGATTCACCTTGAAGTAAACATAGACGAATACTATTTCGATTTTGAATTTATAAAGCCAACCAGGTGAAAAGCTTAATGCTCCTTGAGGAATTCCCAAACCATTAGCAAGTGTCTTCGCTTTTTCAATAAGTAAAACATCGCTTAAAATCGTCTTATGCTGATAAATCAGCATGAACTTCTTAAGAGCTAGATTGAGTTTTGGGTAAGTTACAGTTCTGTGACACTTTACACTAGAGTTAATTTCATTTTCGAGACGTTCTTTACTTGTCTTCAAAATGTGCGAAACTGCATATCGGTGGATTTACGGAATTGGGCCTTTTTTTAAGACCCCAAATTTCATATAATTTTACAAGGTAAACCATCTTATTTCTAAGATCTAATGGGTTGACACTTATCTATTGGGTTTATTTATATGATCAGTTGTATGTCGATCATCTGACCATCATCTGACCAATCAATTTTTGTAAACAATCATATTTTGGTGACCATTTTTAGGGTCCAATTTCAATTCCGTAAATCTGCTGATATAGTACTTTCATTAATACTAAGATTCCATTTATTCTTAATCTATTCAACATATTGGGGCTGAGTTTTTTTATTATTATGAGCATAAACACAAAGCTCATACTTTTGCGCATTGGTAAGAGTTGTTCTCTTGGGCATTTTTTTTTTTTGAACAAAAAAAAATGATTACACATAATATAAGTTTTTATAACTTTTTTATATATATAATCAAATGAAAAGTTTTTTTTTTGCTTTTAGTGCACCATTTTTACAAGTAAGCCAATTAAATTTTATATCATACAAAGTTTTGCTAAATTACACGTTTTATTTAACGAATTTAATTCCATAAGCAAGAAAAAAAGAAGGCCGTTAGATTTATTAGAGTAGTGCTTATGAAATATATATAAAAATAGTCATTAGAAGGATATATTTATTTTTATAATAAAAATCATGAGTAGATTAATAATAAAGTTCGCATTGCACGAGATGCATATATTCAAGTAATGTTTTATATAGAACTTGATGTAAGTTTTAGTTTTAAACACAAATCTAGAATCAAACTAGAATTAAGATGAAATAGAAAATTACTTTAGACTATATAAAGTGAAAGATAATTTTAATATTTAATGATTTAAGTTAAGTAAATCTATATTTAAGAATGTGTTTAAATTCAAATAATTAAATCATTAATATATACTCTTGCCAAATAGATCCTTATAAGTGGACTAAAAAATTCTTGGTGTCTGGGTTCTCATTTTTTACACTTAATTAAAAGTAATTTTTTTTTATTGTCATTAAATTCATACATACTGTAGTCAATAGTGCCATAATTAAAGAAATGAAAGTGTTATATTAAAAAAAAAAGTCAATCTTGATTTTGACCTTGTCATGCTGTACCATGGTACTGTTTGCTAAAAATGGAATAAAAAAAAAGTCTTAATTTTGACTTCGTTGCACTTTACTATAGTACTGTTCGTTTTTTAAAAATGGAATATTTAATTATATTCTGCCTTATCGGATTCAATAAAGTGATTTTTTATTTAATAAATGTATTCCTTAATATGTAGACCAACGCAGGCAAATTTGCCTGCGTTTTTGCACTTTTTTAGCTCTGATTTACTTTTTTA